TTTTCAACCCTACCATCCCCTGAATTGTTAAGATACAAGGGAACCTGCTTCATTTCAGTGATAATAAGTGCCGTCCAATAATAAATGAACTTACTGGCCTGGCTAACCAAGCCTCATTGTGACAGGTTAGGTAAAAAAATAAATTTCAAATTTAATCATGCCTGTGGTAGGCAGAATAACGGCCCCCCAAAGAAGTCCACATCTTATTCCACAGAACTTGTAAATATGTTACCTTACACAGCAAAAGGGACTTTGCAGATTCGATTAAATTAAAGATTTTGAGCTGAGATCATCCTGGATTATCCAAGGGGCCCAACGTAATCAGAACAGCCCTTATAAAAAGGAGGCAAGAATATCAGAGTCAGAGAAGATGATGTGATGACAGAAGCAAAGATCAGAGAGACAAAGATTTAAAGATGCCATGTGCTGCCAGCTTTGAAAATGAAGGAAGGAACCATGGTCAAGGAATGAAGGCCACCTCTAGAAGATGAACAATACAAGAAAAAGAACTCTCCCTAGAGCCTCCAGAAGGAACTCAGCCCTGCTAACTCCTTGATTTTAGCCCAATAAGAACTATTTTGAACTTCTGACTTCCAGAACTGTAAGATAATAAATTTGTGTTGCTTTAAGCCACCAAATTTTTGGTAATTTGTTACAGGAGCAACAGGAAACTCATACACTGCCTAAAGAATATCTCCTTAGCCAGCAACACATGGTAATCAAAACTTACCTTCTAAGAGGGTATGATCTCGAACAGCTTCTGCAGCTAATACAGACTTCCCACAACCTGCCATTCCATAAATGGTGACCCATCCCGGTTCACCATCCAATTTGAGGAGTTTCTGCCGAATTGCATGAACCAGCTTCTTTCTAGTAACAAAAACAACTGGCCTCTGTGGTACTCCACCTTCACACAGGACTGTCTTTACTGAAATTCAAAATAAAACAAGTAGGAATGAATACAACTTTGAGGTGGTTACACAATACCATAAAAACCAAAAAGAGCAAGGCTGAGGCCTTAGCCTCAAAATTTCCAAGAGAAATGAGAAAATGTGGCTAGCACATTAACTTCAACTTTCTGATTTCTCAGAACAGCTAGAACAAAAGCAAACATATACCTTTCAAGATGACTACAGACAATGGAAATCTCCATCTATACCTGTCCTTACTCACTCTATGCCTCCCTGACTCTCCAGTCTCCTTTTTCTCAGATTGAAAACTGGGAAGGAGAGCGTAAAGAGAAGAACACGGAATCCCTTTCAAGAACACAGATTCTTAGTCTTTCCTATGCATGAATTTGATAAACATAGAACTAGAGAAGAACTTAAATACAGGCCTATAAATTGTCTTATTATCTCTAACAATTAGGGTATGTATATTATTACCTCAGCAGTAGACAGTTCACTGGGCAAGAAGAAAATGTGAGAGTTAACAGAGATGCAAATAAAAAGACTTAAATTGGAAAATATAGTTTTTTCACATGCATTTTTTCAATGAACTAATCAGTCTCTTCAGCAGACTCTATCTACAGTAACACAAAGCTGCAGCAAGGTAGCCATTGTGAGAGAAGGTATCATGGATACAAACCATATGAAGTTACTCCAACAAGCGAATCTTTGCCATTGGAAGAAGAGAGAACAGGAATGCCACCATGGAGAAGGGCAGCAAGATCTTTATATCCTTCTTGTAGGAGAGCCTTGTAGAATGATATGTAGCAATAATTATCCTTTTTAAGTATCATTTTAATTAACATAGCTGCTTTTTGCTGTCGAGTGGGCTGGAAAAAAATAAGTAGTTTAGCATGCTACAAAGAATATGTTTGCAACATAAATTAGTGGAGACCAGTACAGGTTCCGAAATAAATTCTAAAAATTTTTAAGAAAGCATAGACTGCCTCAGAGGGCTTTACCTCATTTTTTACTTTTTCCTCCTCCGATACTGTTAAAACTCCATCACTAATCATGTAATCCATGATGTAGGAGGTTTTGATGTCCTTTTCCAGGGCTTCTCTATGTTGAAGTAAACAATTTCGAGCTTTTGCATCCATCCTCCTTCAAATTTTTCTCTTTCTGAACTGTCAACCATGAACTACAAGCAAAACATCAAAATATGTGTTAGGCCAATAAAGATATGAAAAGATGTGTAACCTCACTGGTAATCAAGAAATGTAGAGAAAATAAGATTTATTTTGCGAAGATTTTTTTAAATGGACAAAACCAAACGCTTTCAGAGATGTGCAAAAATAGGTATTTTTAGGCACACTTGAGGAGAGTACAAAATGGATGCAACTTTTCTGGAAGGCATTATGATAAAATATAGAAGTGTTTACAGTAAGCACTGTCTTTTTAACCCAGAAATCCCACTTCTAGGAATTTACCTCAAGGAGACATTCAGATAAGTATGCGAAAATATGCACAATAAGAGTTAACAGAGAGTGTGTTGAGGTGAGACAAAAAGATGAAAACATCCTAAACGCCCATTATTCTGAGTATGGATTAAAAAAATTAGAGTATGTACATAAAATAGAATATTACACAGCCATTTAAAATGGTAAGACACATCTCCACGTACTGACACAGAAAGATGCAATGACACATTGCTGATTGAAAAAATTAGAAATATGATCCCATATATAGAACAAAATATTTGTCAGTATCATATAAATACATAGGGAGATGTTTAGAAGTTTGTTCAACAAAACGTTTGGGTTACTTCCAATTAGCAAGATTTGGGGGCCCCCCCATATCTTTTTTGTACTTTTCTACATTGTCTTAATTTTTCTCAAAATACATTATCATTTTTACGATTAAAAAAATTCTTTTAAGATTTTATAAACAGTGGCCATACTGCAGTCCTAATGCTTGGAAACCTCGTTTTCTTTGTCCAATATAAGACTAAATAGAGCACTATTGGTACTGAGTATTAGTTCTTGCTCAAGGTGAGTGTCAGCTCTAGGTCTTCAGTGGTAAACACATTTCTCACATGCTCACTCCACTAATGTTTCAGCTGAGCTGCTAAGTATGACAAAACTACAGAAAATACCCTCTGACGTCATTTCTTGAATTAAGAGGACACAAAGAAAGAATAATATTCTTCACAGTACAATACTCTAAGTTTCCACCAGCTTTATTTCACATACATTGCAAACTTTTCCACGGGTATAAAACCCAGATCGGGGGCTGGCCTGGTGGCATAGGGCTTAAGCTCGTGCCCTCCACTTTGAAGGCCCAGGGTTCACAGGTTTGGATGCCAAGCAGATCTATACACCGCTCACCAAGCCATGCTGTGGGACGGCCCACATACAAAATGGAGAGAGACTGGCACAGATGTTAGCTCCGGGCCAATCTTCCTCACCAAAAAAAATAACCCAGATCAGAATGTTTGCAAGTGTTTAAAATATTAACAGAACTCTAGCCAACATATTACAGTGAGTGTCTAAATGTGTTTGTTAATTTATTCATTCAATAAACATTTGAGCTCCTCCTATGTGCCAGGCCCTAAGTCTACAGAGAAGATTAAATCATATCCCTGAAGGTATTCACAATATAGCAAGAGAGAAAAATAGATAATTAGAATGTGATGTCCTAAACGAAAAAATAGAGATAAACACAAGTAATTTAGAGTGCAGAGAAGAGCAGCAATAATCATTAAGCCTCACTGATGACCATATATTTTTAAAGTGCAACTAAATGTGGCACCATACTTATCAAGGTTCAAAAAACGCCCAGTACTGGCCTGAAACTGATCGATAAAAGAAAAACTTCTGATTAGAATCAAAGCTATCATATTTTTTAAATGTTAATGTTTTATGCTCTCAATTTAAACATAAAACATCTAATTTTTAATAATAAAAGTCGATTTCATAAAACAAAAACGACTTTTGTAGGCTACGTCCAATAGTTAAGCAAATAGACACTCTGACAATCTGAAACTAATTTCCAAGTCTACCTAGCCATATTTAAACTAAATATGTAAATTTCCTACGTTTTTAAAGTCTGCACAAATATTCTGAACAAGTTCTCAGTGTCCCACCTTTCTCAATCATATCAAAACGGGAAGTCAAAACTCTTCACAGTTGGGAAATGGAAAGAAAGTAAAGGGCAATTTCATCCACAAAAAAACCGTAAGAGTTGACTACTTCCTCCTTGGATAATTTCTCTTCCTGGTACAGGAGTAGGATGATAATCAATTACACCTTGTCCCAGAATTCTGAGTCCCTGAAATCGGCTACTGAACCTCTAAAGAAAGCAGCTCGGGCAGCAAAGCAAGGCGCAAACTTACCCGAACCTTCGCCCCAGTGTCTTACGGGGAAGAGCGGCCCTTCGGGGCCAGACTGAGAGATCAAGTTTCGGGATGAAAAGGCCAGAGGGCCTCCAAAGGGCATGGAGGGCTCGGGGCGCAGCCCCGGGACAAGTCCGGACCTCACAGGCGCCGCACCGGGGCCTCGGCAGCCCGGGGAGCCTGAAGACCCCCGCGCACCTCCGGCCGGCGGAGGAGGCGTCCCCGCCGCTGGCTGACCACAGTCCCGGGGCGCGGAGGGGAGGCCTGGCCCGAGGGCCGCCCTCTCGGGGAACCCCACCCCCGACACAAAGAGAGGAGAGCCACTCGGGTTGTCGCTCCTTCCCTCCGGCGGCAGTTGCACCCCAGCCACTCGGGACGCCGCCGCGGCTACCTCCAGTCCTGGCGGGTCGCTGACGGCCCAGAGTTCCTCGCCGCCGGCTCCCTCACCCCTTTGACCCAAGAATAGAGCACCCGCGTCCACTTAATACCGCCTCCTCTACGCCCCAGTCCCACAGAGCAGTCAAACCCCGCTGGACCCGCCCAGTCCGAGCAGCGCGCGCCCGCGCATGCAAATAAACACGCGCCGAGCCCCTCGGGGCGCACGCCGCCGCGCGCGCACCCGCTCCAGCTGGTGCCCACGCGCGCACAGGGAGCGCCCCCCACAGCGCCCCGCAGCGGGGGCGTGGCTAAGCCACAGGGGCGCGCCGCGTCCCAAGGAAGGGAGGCCCGCGGCGGCGGCGCGCTCGACGTGGCGCGAGCGGCTCCGCCCCGCCCCCGCGCGTCCTGGCGGCCAGCTCGCGCCCGCAGCTATGATTTCTTCAGGTTTGCAGCGTTAGCGCAGAGACGGGCGGAGGTAGGCCTCCTGTCCGCCTCAGCTGGAGGACCTAGGAGGCGGGTGGCTGGGATGCGCTGTGAAGCAGCGAGGATGGCCGGCAGAGGGAGGGGACTGGTTTCCGGGCGGCGCCAAATCCGAGAGGGGGCGCGGTCACCGCCGAGGCTGCCGGCGGAGCTCAGGCGGCCACGTCCCGATCCCCCAGGGTGAAGAGGCGGCCTGGGTTTGTCGTCCTCGGGACCTCCAACATGTCGGAGGTGAAGAGCCGGAAGAAGTCGGGGCCTAAGGGAGCCCCCGCGGAGCCCGGAAAGCGGAGCGAGGGCGGGAAGAGCCCCGAGGCCCGAGGTGCTGGAGGCGGGGGCTGGGCGGACCCCCGGACCGGCCTGAGCCTGCTCTCTCTGGGGACGTGCCTGGGCCTGGCCTGGTAAGTGTCCGGCCTCCGCTGGTCGCCCCGCTCTTCGGGGCTCCGGCCCCACCCGACTCGGCATCCGGTAACCTCCAACCCCGAGACTTGGGACTTCTGTTCCGCTCCCTCGACCCCAAAGAAAGGACAGCCCAACTTTTTCTTTCCTTTCGCTCGTTTCTTGTAACTCCTTTTTCCTACTTACTAGTGTCGTGCCGGGATCGCTCAACTGGAATTGAGGCTGAGGTTTGGGGAGGAGTCAGCCGTTAGGCGAGGCGGATTCAGCCAGATTTTATTTAGCGCCTACTACACGTCAGGAGCTTTCACGTTTCTCTAACCCGTTACTTCCTGTCTGCTGTGCGTTTGTCGGGACAAATTTGCCCCGCCCCGCCCCACCCTGTGAATGCCTAATAGGAACGTTTGAAACCTTACAAGAATTCCCTGTGATCTCAAAGCCACAGACGTTCATGATAATATCAAAGTTTGGAGGATTTCTCATATTTTGATCAATGTGCATGCGTTCTGAATTGAAAATCTATTCCTAAGTTACAGATTTGACTTTAGTACTATAAAGCTGCAAAAGTATATAGCACTTGTGTTCACCTAAAACTAGACTTTTATAGCTTTTAAACCAAGCGAATAGTGATATATTGGTATGATAGGACAAATGAATATTAGGAATAAACTTAAAACCAACTTATTAATTTCATTTTCCCCAATCGTTTTCTTTAGGAACAACTATTTCATTTTAATAGTAAGACTGACGCTGTAAATTAGAATGCCCCTCCATTTTTTACCTATTTTTAAAGTATTTAGAAGTTGGTTATTCATCTTCAAGAGTAATGGTATCCTCGAAGGCACCCTGGACATCCTCTACTTTAGAACACTTTTGATGTTCGTAAGTTTTAAAGATTTTATTTTTCCTTTTTCTCCCCAAAGCCCCCCAGTACATAGTTGTGTATTTTTAGTTGTGGGTCCATGTAGTTGTGGCATGTGGGACGCCGCCTCAGCATGGCCTCATGAGCCGTGCCATGTTGGTGCCCAGGATTTGAACTGGCAAAACCCTGGGCCGCAGAAGTGGAGCCTCGGAACTTAACCGCTTGGCCATGGGCCGGCCCCCTATGTTCGTAAATTTGAAATTCTGCTTTACTGCTGACTCATTCTGAGTCGAAGTTAATAAAAGATTTGTTACAATAAAGTGAAATGTTGATTGTTAAATATTCTCTTCAAAAAAAGATAAATTGTTTATTTTACTAATATGGTATTTTTATTTATGGGACATTATTACTTTGATCTTAAAAGAATAAATGTACTGGATTTACTGTTAAATAAACTATTCTTGTGTCTTAAAATGCATGACCTTTAGGTAAATAAAAAACCCGTTTTGTGTTGGGAAAGTTATTCAGTAATAGAATTTAGTAGGCTAAAAGATGTATGTTGCTTCTCTCTGAAGCCTAATACAACTGATTTTAGTTACTGTATTTATTCTCATTAATTATCCAAAAATACATATTCATGTGAGATAAATTACATCACAAAATGTTCAGCTTTTCAATAATTTTGTTAGTCCGTGGGAAAACACACTAATAGGAATTTATAAAGGAAAAAACTCTTGAAAAGCAGACACTTCAGCTTAGGAATTTACTGTTAAGTGCCTACAATAAAGAAACAAGTTATATTCATTAGGAAGATTTTATTTGAACTGTGTCTGCAAAATCATGAAACAGTGCTCAAAGATTATTCCTAAAATGGACAGATATATGATTGTTCTTAAAATAATTGACTGTTAATTGCTCTTGTGAAATCTTTTGCCATAAGAGTTGAAGTATAAGTACTTTGGTTGCTGTTTATAGCAAATTATTTATTCATGGTAAATTTAGGAATAAGAAATTATTCTGGGAAGACGTTTGCAAGCATTTTCCAAATAAAAAACAAACGTTTGGCATCTCAAAATACTTAAAAGCACACTGGAATTATAAGAAAGCCATTGCAATCTTTACCACTAGAACACATACTTCAGCATCTAAAAGTGGGTCTAGCAAATCTTTATTGAATGCTTACTGTACTAACACTGTCCTGATGGTTAAAATACAACAGCGAATATATGTGCTATCTGTATACTCCTAAACACAGCTTATCCATCCTCTCACACTTTGTCAGATTAGGTCGAGGGGGAAAGTTTACATCCTTCACTGCCCAAGGAGGATTTCAAGACGTCATTATATGTGTCTTCAGACGTTTAGTCTTTGGATCCTTGTTTGAAAGTAAACAGAGATAATGCATAACAAAAGTTGGTTTTGGATCCCCAGTGTGGACCTACACACTGCACATCAAGCCATGCTGTGGTGGCATCCCACATACGAAGTAGAGGAAGATTGGCACAGATGTTAGCTCTGCGACTATCTTAAGCAAACAGGAAGATTGGCAACAGATGTTAACTCAGGGCCAATCTTCCCCTCCAGAAAAATAAAATAAAAAAGTGCTATATTCTAACATCTTCTCTCTGTTAAAGTCCTGATATATCATCCTATGTCAGCTTAACAAGACACTAGTGATACCGTTGCCCAAAATTATATGGCTTGAGTGTTATAATTTGCATACCTCATTTGTAAACTTAAGGCAAATTTTCAGATAAGACAATTGAAGAAATTATGCTTTAAAAAGTTTGAAAGTTGTGAAGTCACTAAATAAGACACAAAACCTTACAAGCTTATTTAATTACAGTACATGGAAATTTAGTCAACTGGAAGTTCTGTTGTGAAAATTTAAGTTTCTTTTGGAAATTTCAACAGATTTTTAAATTGCCTTTATAAAAGTTTTTCATAACATTTGTGACAATTATGTATAAGAAGTCAAAAGCTCTTTAAACAATAATTCACGTTTTTCCCTCTATCATCTATCTAGTACAACTTTCTCTATAAATTATACAGCAAAATCTTGGTTAACCTCATTTTCCAGCTTGTTGTTAGTGGAGCTTTGTCTGAAAGACAGGGTTATCCTTTAAACACCCTGCTTTTTAAAAACAGAATATGGTCACTGTTTTCCTGAACATTCAGTATTGCGCTGAAAATGAGGCTGTAGTGTGAAACACAGGGCCAAATGGGTACTGACCGTAGTAGTGGCCCTGGAACTCCATTTCTTGCAGAAGGTCCATAATAACAGTTTTCTTTGGTTATTTGCCTCTTTTTCATTATCAAGTTGAGACAGCCAGAGAAAATTCTGTATTTATAAATCCTCAATGAGCTGTCTGCCATCACCTAAGCTTCCTAAAGGAGCTCTGCAGAGGCAACATTCCAAGGAAATGCACGCTGTTTAATCCTACAGGGCCCTGAATCTATGTGAGGTCTGTAGACTGACATAGACTGAGGTCTGTAGTGATGGATTTTGAAGGAGTCAGAAAGATACCTTTTCTAAGTCCTACACTAAGGTAGCCAGTTAACCCGGCTCCCTTTCTCCTATGTCAATACCTTCAAGGCCTTTACCTATGTGAGAGTGAGAAGAGGCCCAGAAACAGGGTAAGAGAGTGCTTCTCTTCCTGTCAGTGGTCTCATCCATCCGTTCCATTCCATCCTTCATTTGCTATAAACCCAGCCCTGGTTTCAAAGGGAGACAGACCTGGGGCTTCTATCAAGTGCAAGTATAAGGGAGGAGCCCTAATCTTTTATACCACTCTAGGCTTCTCAGAGGGATGGAAAAGCAGCTGCACGAAGCAGTCCAAAAGGCCAGGTACTTACAGAGAATCGTTGGTGTGTTACGCTCTAGGCACTGTCTAGGAGCTTTATAATTAAAAACCCGTTTAATCTCTACGGCAGCCATATGAACTAAGTAGTGGTGTCCGCATTTTACAGATGAGGAAACTATAGCAAAGATAAATTAAATAACTTGCCCAACATGGTTATACAGCTAGTAAATGGCAGAGCCAAAGTTGCCCAGCTCCACACTTAACCAGTATGATGTGCTGCCTCCCTTTTATATTAATCCAAAGAGAGGCCAAGACCCTACAAATAGAAATCCCTGCTCTAGAACTATTTATAGTCCTTTTCTTTTTTCTACTAGAAGCTGTAGCCCTTAGCAGACCCTAACTGTTTGTCTCATCTAGACTAGGGAAGATAGAGAGTAAGGAGGCCTTGAACTGTTCCTGTTAGAGTGTACCTCTGGTTCATAAAAAGGAAACAAAGCAGGCCGGCCCATGGCCAAGTGGTTAAGTTTGCACGCTCTAATTCCGCGGCCCACTGTTTCACTGGTTCGGATCCTGGGTGTGGACCTAGCACTGCTGATCAGGCCATGCTGAGGCGGCAACCTACAACAAGAATATATAACTATGTACTGGGGGGCTTTGGGGAGGAGAAGAAGAAGAAGAAAAAAGGATTGGCAGCAGATGTTAGCTCAGGTGCCAATCTTTAAAAAAAAAAAAAGGAAACAAAGCACCTTGGGCACTAATCTGGATGCCAGTTTCAAAAATTACTTTTTCAGAATTGAAGCCGTCTTCTCTCAGCATACCATTTTTGGCTTCTAGAAAATCATCTCTTCCTTAAATGAGTTAATGTTTTATAAACATTTATAAGCACTTAGAATGTGTCTGGCACATCTAAGTGAAAAAAGGAAACAAATGTGTTTTAACTCAGCATTGTACAAACCACTTTTCATTTTTCTCATTACTAGCACTGTCAACTTGATGTTTGTTTTTTCTTATATGCACTATTCGTATGTAACAATGGTGAATCTTTTATTTTTTTTATTTTGTTGAGAAGATAACCATGAAAAAAAATCCTGCAAATTATCATTAGAGGTTATATTTCCACTAACATGACACCGTTTTCTTCAAGCTTTTGCTTAATATTTGAATTTTGAAGAGAAGGCAGAGATACAGCGTTAAAAATATTTAATAAGGGGCCAGCCCGGTGGTGCACTGGTTGGGTTCGCACGTTCTGCTTCAGCAGCCTGAGGTCCGCCGGTTTGGATCCTGGGTGGGGACATGGCACTGCTCATCGAGTCATGCTGTGGCAGGCATCCCACATGTAGAGTAGAGGAAGATGGGCACGGATGTTAGCTCAGGGCCAGTCTTCCTCAGCAAAAAGAGAAGGATTGGCAGCAGATGTTAGCTCAGGGCTGATCTTCCTCAAAAAGAAAAAAATTTAATAAAATGAAAAGTCCTATAATGTATTGTTGTAGTGGATCAACCTTCACAAAAAGTCTCTTTTATAATAACGAGTTTATTCTAAATAAACACACTGATTTATAGAATAAACTCATGAGGTAACACTGTGGAGAAATGGATGATAAAACTAGTTCCTGATATTAGACTTTCTTCAGAGCTATCTCTATCCTTGGTCTCTGTCTCCTAGTCTCAGGTAAGCCTATACTACGAAAAGAACCTCTTAAAAGCAAAGAATGAAACAGCGAATCAAAAAAGAATTGTCTACACATCCATCTTTGAAAATTAGAATAATGGCATTTTCTGATAACTGGAAGTTTTGTTTAAAAATTCCTGTTAGCACACAGGAGAAAACTCAATCTGTACTAATTGTGTAACCTCGGCTTAGTCAATTCAGTGTTATCTTATAGGATAGACAGCCATCATCAAAAGAAATTTATTTCATCCAACATATGTTTAAAAAGCTGAAAATCTATTTTAGCTTTGGGCAGTTTTGTAGCACCATCTAGCCTAATGATGACATTTATGAGCTTGAAACATCACCACCTTTGCAGTAATGCGAAGTGCAGAAGTCTTTCACCTCTCCATTGAGTTTTGGAATTTTTAAGTATTTGACTTTTAATAGAAGTCAGTTTCACAAAACAGTGTCAATTAGTGGTTCTCAGCTTTGCTGAGATCCCCAGGTAACCTAGGGAGCTTTTAAAATTTACAATATCCTTGTGGTTAAGTTTGCACTCTCCACTTTGGCAGCCCGGGGTTCACATGTTGGATCCCGGGCTTGGACCTAGCTCTGCTCATCAAGCCATGTTGTGGTGGCATCCCACATAAAATAGAGGAAGATTGCCACAGATGTTAGCTCAGTGACAATCTTCCTCAAGCAAAAAAAAAAAAAAAAAAGAGGAAGATTAGCAACAGATGTTAACTCAGGGTCAGTCTTCCTCACAAAAACAAAGCAAAACAAAAATAAAATTTACAATATCCAAGTCACATCCCAAACCAATTAAGTCATAATTTCCATGGGTGGGACCCAGGCATCAGACTTTCTTAAAGCTGCCGGGTGTCTCCAATATGCAGCAAAGCTTTTGACCCACTGGTCTATGTACTCTGATTTAGGCACTCATTTCATATGGTTCTCCACTGCTTTTTGATGACTCAGTAAATGTACAAAGAATTTCAGCTGCTTTTTCTGAGCCCAAAGAATTGAATCAGAGTAGATTAACCAAAATGGTATCAGATCCAAAGCATTTCTTTTGTGCTTGCTCATTCCAAGTCCTATACAAGCAAAAGTCCATTTATTGTTTTTAAGATTAGGATAACTTTTTTAGGCTTCTACCCTTTACGATTTACCAGATGAAGAACAAACTCCAATTTTAGAATGGTACCTGAAGTACACCAATATGACTTGTATTTTTGTATGTATTATGCACCTTGCAGTGCTAATGTGTTCTCTTGTCACTTTGACAATGACTGACTCCTGTTTTCAGTTTTGACTTCTGTTTTGCAACTTCTAATCATCACCCATTTCTTTCGTTCCGCTCCACTGCTTTTTTCTCCTCTCCTACATTTTAATTTAAAAAATTTTTATATAAATAACTCTTGCTTCTTCATTTCAGTGTAAAAAGATTAATTTTCTAGATATTGCCCAAATACGGCCTTAAGAAAAATAGTAGAGATCACATATCTTGCTCTAAATAATTCATCATTTCTTCCTCCACAATATTTCTCGTGCATACTCTGTTACAGATATCACACCGTCTCGCTCACAGGACTGTGAGTGTGAACAGGGGCAGAGTTTCACTCATCTATGCTTGAGTAGTACACTTAAACCAGTAACTACCACATAGCAGGCTTTCTAAATGTTTGTTGAAATAAACTAATAAAAGCTGCCACTACCTGTACCAGAATTCATGTTGTTCCTACCAGAAGTGGGTGTAAAATAATCCTTGAAAATTCAGACTTAAATGGATATGAATTAGGAGGTAGTGATTTTTTCTTTCTTTTCCAGGTTTGTATTTCAGCAGTCAGAAAAGTTTGCAAAGGTGGAAAACCAATACCAGTTACTGAAAATAGAAGCCAATGAATTCCAAGGGCTTCAAAGTAAAATCAGTTTAATCTCAGAAAAGGTAATTATTAATTGGTTTATTTGGGGAGATTTTCCCATTTTTCTTCTCCACTACCACCCTTTTACCTCGTTTATAAATTCTTTTTTCCTGCCTTGTAGACCATTACTATTTTAACTCTCACTAGTCTTCCAACCTCTTCACGTTCTCCCTTCAATCCAGTTTAGACTTAGATTATATTCTGAAAGGACAGGATTTTTTTATATAACAAACGTTATTGTTTAAAAAGAACCATATGCTCATATTGATGTGACCTCAATTTTGTATTTAAATGTTAAGTATCTAGAGCACTGAAAATACAGTTAATCTTCAGGTATAAAGTTAGAATAGAAACAGCACTTGGGCAAAGATCCGTCAGTTTTTCTTTCTTTACTCTCCAATTGGTAAGCATATATACATATGCATATAAGAAAAACTAACCTAAAAATAAATAGATTTTGTAGCCAAATGAAAACTAAAATCCACGTTTATATTGTGTTTCTTCAACCTGCAAATGCAGATGCATTATTACTGTGATTCTTAGAAATCTGAGACAGATTAAAGAATTTTATCTACCTCGCTTCTCAGGAGAGGGTCAGCTACAATCAGTAAGGCATCCTGTGGGCCTAGTCTGGCTACCAGGGACCAAGCTGTCATTGGGAAACATGCCTTGTTTGTTCATTTATTCATTCACTAAATCTTTACTTGTGTCCTAAGGTAGACAAGGACTTGTGCTTGGCACCGGGGTAAGCAAAGATGTTATAAAAGTAGACAGAAATGAAACAGAGTGTCTAAGTTCTTACAGCCTCATGCACAGGATGAGCATATAATCGCTCAGAAGAGAAAAACCAGGGGCTGGCCCCGTGGCCGATTGGTTAAGTTCGCGCACTCCGCTGCAGGCGGCCCAGTGTATCGTTGGTTCAAATCCTGGGCGCGGACGTGGCACTGCTCATCAAACCACGCTGAGGCAGCGTCCCACATGCCACAACTACAAGGACCCACAACGAAGAATATACAACTATGTACCGGGGGGCTTTGGAGAGAAAAAGGAAAAAAATAAAATCTTTAAAAAAAAAAAAGAGAAAAACCATGGGTGAAAATTATGCATCTCCCACCCATGCCAGAGGATTTCATGGAGGGTGAGTTTAGCTACCTTGGGAACAAGCTGCAAGAGTTGGTATTTTAACCTAGGGCTCAAGCTGGAATCTGGTTATAGTTGTTGAGGGGCCCTCTAATCAGAAAAAGCATAATGATAGAAAACATACCAGGAGATAGAAACTTCCTATCTTTTTGAAGAAAGATTTCTTTTTTAAATGAAAAATTTGGTAGCCATTAAAATTCTTTTTGAAGCACATTTTTAAAATATCATCGTAGGATCCAAGAAATGTTCAGTCTTTGCATAGCTCTTTCTCTCCCAGCCTGCCCTAGGAATAGTTTAACGATAGCTGCCTTTTCACAAAGCTGCCCCCAAAGGCCAGCCTAACTCAGTAGGAGGGGAAAACATCTACACGTGGGCTCTCATCACAACCGTATGACCTTGAAAAATTACTTTAACTTCTCTTGGCCTCTATTTCATCATTTATTAAATGAGAATAACAAGATTTCTATAAAGATCAGATGAGATACAATATCTATGCAAAAGTGTTTGAAAGTTTTCAAGCAGTAATAAATTTAAGGTATTAGCTCTTTAAAAAATGAAAAACTGTTAGAATATATTGGTAGCCCAAAAATGCTAGCTGTTGTGGTATACTAGTCGCTATATATTGGCAGATTAAATCTTGAGACCTTATTATCCTGAAAAGTTGATCTTATACTTGTGGTCTACTGGGGTATACTGCCTCCAGATTAAAATGATGCTCTACTGAACAGCCTCCAAAGGACGTGACCTTAGGTGCAGATAAGCTTGCCGCTTCAGAATGCTGCAAATAAGATAACTAAATCTAATGGTATTACCAGTGTACAAGTATTTCTCAGAATTGGTTTTTAAAGGAAGTTGTATTATGGCTACATATATACATTGAAAATAATTTTTAAACAAGGTTTCAGAGTGGTCTTATTCTATTAGTCAGGACTCACATGTTGTTCCCAGCTATCACTTGGAACTGCTTTAGGTGTTGATTGAGGTGGGCCCAGAAAGTTTATAGCCATTCTTCTTCCTAAACATCAACAAACATGTTCTTTATACCCTGAGATATGGGGACTACAACAAGGCATAAAACATAATCTCTTCCCCTAGGGAACGCAGAAGCTCTCATATCTTCCCCAGGGTAATTCATCATCTGTTAAAGAGTCAGATTTCAGAGTCGCTTCTAAGCCTTTCTTCACTGCCCTCCAGACTTCTGATCTCTCCTCTAAGCATACATTCTCCCCATGCTAATTCTGTCGTGATACAAACCATAATCTATTGTGATTTTTTGTTGTTATTAATTTGCTTGTCTCCTTTACTGCTCTTTAGGACAAACATTGTGTTTTTTATCTCTGCATACCTAGTGCCTAATAATGGAACAGAAGACACTCAATAAATCTTATGGGACTCTAGAATATATGATTTAAAAGATTCAAAGCACTATCTCCCCTATCAAGTTGTGAAGTCAGGGACTGTACTATATCTATATTTTCTGTCTGTCTAGCACAAGGTCTGGCACAGAGTGAACACTCAAGAATTCTTGAATTATATATGCTAAGTACCAAATAGTTGGCAAAAACATAATATAATAGGTGCTACAGGAGTTCAGGCTGTCAGGGCTCAGGCTGTGGAAAAATGCCGCACTGAGGAGCTGAAATCTGGTCTGAGCCTTGAAGGAAGAACACAACTTAACTAAGCAAAGAGGAGGGAAAAATAGCATAGAGAGAGGTTATGGAATTTAGGACTCTACCCTAGAAGTATTAGGAAACATTGTGAGTTTTTTAATGTTGTACCATGATGTGCATAGCAGTTTTTTTTTTTTTAAGATTGACACCTGAGCTAAAAACTGTTGCCAATCTTCTTTTTGTTTTTTCATGCTTTTTTCTCGCCAAATCCCCCCAGTACAAGGTTGTATATTTTAGTTGTGGGTCTGTGTAGCAATTTTTAAAAGCTTAATCTGGCTATGGTGTTAGAATAATTTAGAAAGGAAGTAACTGGAAGCAGATATTAGATAATACTTCTGAAATATTTTCCTTGATCATCAAAATCTAGTTTGGGTGCCCTACCTAAGTGCTTCTATAGCTCTTCCCCTGTCATCACTCATATAGACTTGGCTTTCTCCCCAGTTAAACTAAGCTACTTAAGGGGAGAAGTATGTCTTGTACAGTATTATGTCTTCAACACAATGCTGCAAACATTTGATAAATTAATGATCATTTCTATGCCTTCCTGTATTCTGTAAGGTTATATCATCTGTGTGAGTGTAGACCAAAAGAGGTCCACGACCTGGCTCTTCTACATTCTGGACACATATAGGAGATGCCAGGAGTTTACCGTAATTTACAGATACTTAGAACACTTTCCCATTTGACATTAGTTGTCTCAGTTTTGCCTTTGTGATATCTGTAAGATCTGATTCTGGTACCTTCTCCACAAGAGGTCAGTCAACAAATTTTTTTCTCAGGCAGAAACTTCCAGAACCATAGGATTTAGGAAAGTTAACAAATTTTATAACTAAGTTGCAGTTTATAAAAAAGCCAAATAACCATAAAAATTACAACTAAGTTGCTTTCCATCGGAGTGGAAAAAAGAGGGAAATGTGATCTACTTTAAACTTCTGTAACATTATTTTTCTCTTGACTATCCCTCCATAAAAATCTGCAAATATTTAGGACTGTAAACTCAAGTGTATATTTTTTCTACCATAGCACTAATCTATTAAATTTTTAAAAATAATTTGACAACTATTAAAGTAATAATTGTTTTTGTCAGTATGATTCTTATATACTTGGATATTTTAGACATCTTCAGAATTTGAACTTGCCACATGATTGTTAGAGTGTTTCCCTCATATAAAAGTTATTAAGTAGCCTTGGGAATTGTTTTGTGTTATAAATGCAGCTTGAGTCTACTGAAAGTATCCTGCAGGAAGCTACATCATCCATGTCTTTGGTGACCCAGTTTGAGCAGGAAGTGTCCAGCCTCCAAAGTATCATGCATGACATTCAGAATAGTGAAGAGACGCTCATTCAAAAGATGCAAAGCCTTAATGAGAAATTCCAGAATGTTACAGATTTCTGGAAGAGAAGCCTAGAAGAAATGAATGTTAATACAGACGTTTTCAAATCAGAATCAAAACGCATACGTTCTCAAGTTACTGTCCAAATTAACTCGGCTGAACAAGGAATAAAATTGCTCACTGAAAGACTAAAAGATTTGGAAGACAGCACATTAAGGAATATTAGAACAGTGAAAAGACAAGAAGAAGAAGATCTTCTGCGAGTAGAGGAGCAGCTAGGCTCTGACACAAAAGCAGTTGAAAAGTTGGAAGAGGAACAGCATGCTCTCTTTGCCAGAGATGAAGAGCTGACTAATAAACTTTCCAACTACGAACCCAAAGTTGAAGAATGCAAGACACATTTGCCAACAATTGAAAGTGCTATTCGCTCTGTCCTCAGAGTCTCTCAGGATCTAATAGGGACAGAAAAGAAAATGGAAGACTTGACTATTCAGATGTTTAATATGGAAGATGATATGCTGAAAGCAGTGTCTGAAATAATGGACATGCAGAAAACCCTTGAAGGAATTCAGTATGATAATAGCATATTAAAGATGCAAAATGAACTGGATGTTCTAAAAGGAAAAGTTCATGATTTTATGGTATATTCAGGTACAAGAGAAAAGGGAACTTTAGAAGAATATAATCTAGAAAATAAAGGAGTTGATAGTGATTTTTAAATGCACTACATTTATTCTGATGAAGCATATTGTTGTATGTAAATTGATTATTTCCGTGCTTTTTTGTTACTTTAATATGCCTCACTTATCCTACATTATTGGAAAATGAGTGAGATGTCCACACAAACAGATTATCTAGATAATCAAAGCTTCTCTTTTTAAGCAATAAAACTTATTTCATTTTATCCATTTTAAATAGAAATATTTCTAAAATATATATTCTTCTACTTTTTAAAACAATATACTTAATATTTTTTAATCCTTTTCTAATAATTAATGGACATCATTATGAATTTTACCTATGATATTGGACCCAAATGTATTAATGTCTCTAGGAGCTATTGAGGAGTGTTTACCTCCTCACTAAATGACCCCTGTTTGCTATTTTCAAACTTTATGTCTATTTCCTGTAGCTTTTCTGTCATCTGAAAAGGTGACCCACTGACCTGATCTTACTGTCAGGTTGGTTGATAATATGCCTGACTCAGCCAGTTCTTCATTAATTTACTTCAGGCTAAGAATCTAGACAACCAAGTTCATAGGAATTTTGTCTAAAATATGAGCTAACATTGCCTGAGGGAGAACCTAGGGAGCTTTGCTATGAATTAAGATGTACTTTTGAAAACTCTGGAGCCTGGGAAACGTTTTTACTTTTTGGTGAGGTTCTAAACTGTGTTACAGATTCTGATAGGAATTTTCAAATGAGTAAATATGTTTGTATTGAAGCCTTTTCCTATGAATTAAGTATGTGTGCCTTGAAGGATGGACTTTTGGAATATCTTTGTATACCTGGGCTTCCTTTTTTTTTTTTTTTTGAAGGTTCTAACTGTGTTTCAGACTCTTGAGTTTGCTAGATACATGATCTCCAGATAAATTCTTCTACTTACAAGAAAAATACACCAATAAGCCTGTGGCCTATTTTAAAGAGGAAAAAGCAGTATAATGAGAAATGATGATAATGATGGTAATTGAAAGTATGTTATTATTTTAAAGAGTCCCCAAACTAATTGCCCAACCAAACTTGTTTCACATAGTGATTTTATTTTACTCAAAATTACATAAGGGAGTCACAAGGAATAAGACATGGACACGCTGAGGTGAGATTAAGGGGAGGGCTAGCTAGATTTTTCCAATAATGATCATCAGAAATGAGCAGGGTTGGAGGAGCACATAAGACTTTTGTTGGTAAACTCGTGTCAAGAGCATCTGAGATTAGGGTTGAAAACTGAGTCAACTGCATGTGGAAGTAGTGTTCTTATTTGTTTCTTCTTGTCAGTAACCAACTGTAGTCCCAGTTTTATAATGCAATTTCAGCAGAATTAAACACAAAGAACTTGATAACAGTTACAAAAAGTAGTTGTGGTCAGGTAGTTTTACTGTGTAAATTTGCACACTTTTTGGGAAAATCCCAAACAAGTTCTACTTTGGGGTTAGGAGGGCCTATGATAGACAGCCATGAGTCATAAAAATAAGCCTGGAAGAGTGCTACTATTAAGGAGCGTAGCATTAATTTCTGAAATCTTAACATTAAATTTCTTGACTTCTGAACGTCTAAGTTCTTGTCTGTGTACACTGGCAAAATTGTGTTTGTTTACTTTTATTTTCATGCTAATAAAATAGACTATAAAGTTAGCTGGAAGTTTGTTGTTTCAACCTCTGGCCTGTCAGGGCAGATGTGATCTCCTGTACTCTTCACTTTTATTCGTTTATTTTTTTTTTGCCTATCACCAGATTTGATACATCATTGTTAACTTGTATATAGCATAGTAACGGTTACAAAAAGTAAATGGAAACAGAGTGGCCACTGTGCTCTGTAGTGACAGTTACAAGGGAAAGAAAAACTGCCCTTCTACAAGTATTTCATGAGAAAATTATTGAGTACATGTATAAACACATGTATGCACATGTACATATTCCTTTACTCGGGTTTTCCTATAAAACATTGCCACTAGAGAGATTTAGACATACTTAATTTGTCTGTCTTTGTTTCTTACATTCATTTATTTAACACAGATACTTGACATTTCAAAAACTTCCCTATGTATCAAATATTGTTACATTTGTAGTCTTTCCTTTAAGGAAGATTACCATATTTTAGAGCACATTTTTGTATCTTTGTAGTTGATAATAAATTTTATATCAATTAATTTCTATGAGTACTGGGTCCATTTTTTTTTAATTTAGCACATATAAATCACTTCTTTAAAACGAACACCTAATTTTTTTTAAACTTTTGGATGTAAAGTTTAAAAGTATATTTACAGTAATATTGCCTTAAATTTTGCTTAATGATTAGAGCCTGTTGATTGTGTACTTTTATATTTTGTGAAAATGAAAAATGTTGATTTATTAGCCTTTATGTTTCATAGAAAACTAAACTGTAAAATACAAAGTTAATTGCATTATTTTTAACCTCATTGTAATTGTAGACCATTGTATGAATCTATAATCTTGAGCAAAGCTTAATATGATGTCATTATAAATAATGATGCTGTAAATTCACCAAACAGTTGGGGAAAAAAAGCTCCTTTCTCTATAGATTTACCTCATATTTGCACAGTTGTCAAAAGTTCTGCATGGGCCGGCCCAGTGGCCGAGTGGTTGGGTTGTGTGCTCTGCTTCCGTGGCCTGGGCTTTCACTGGTTCGGGTGCTGGGCATGGATATGGCAACGCTCATTGAGCCATGCTGGGGTGGCGTGCCACATAGCACAACCAGAAGGACTTCCAACTAGAGTGTACAACTATGCCCTGGGGGCTTTAGGAAGAATAAGAAGAAAAAGAAAAAAGCCTGGTGCTGGCCTGGTGGCGCAGCGGTTAAGTTCACACGTTCTGCTTCTTGGTGGCCTGGGGTTCGCCAGTTCGGATCCCGGGTGCGGACATGGCACCACTTGGCAAAAGCCTTGCTGTAGTAGGCGTCGCATGTATAAAACAGAGGAAGATGGGCATAGATGTTAGCTCAGGGCCAGTCTTCCTCAGCAAAAAGAGGAAGATTGGCAGTAGTTAGCCCAGGGCTGATCTTCCTCAAAAAAAAAAAAAAAAAATCCTCTGCAAATTTACCCAGCATCAGTTTGTTTCAGTTCAGCTATGAACTATTAATTTAATACAAATCAAAATGCTCCATCCAGCTTTACGCAGCAGGGGAGGAGAGAACTAACATTTTGGAGCCTATTCTGTGACACTGCTAGGAGGAATACATTCATGTCATCATCCTAACAGCTCCATGCACTGAGTCCCTACCATGTCCCAGTCACTGTGCTCGGCATTTGATGTATCACTAAGTCTCACTGCAGCTTTGCTAGCTATGAGACCCATTTTACAAATGAGGAAATTGAGGCTCAGCAAAATCTTTTTTTTTTTTTTTGAGGAAGATTAGCCCTGAGCTAACATCTGCTGCCAACCCTCCTCTTTTTGCTGAGGAAGACTGGCCCTGAGCTAACATCCATGACCATCTTCCTCTGCTTTACATGTGGGACGCCTACCACAGCATGGCTTGCCAAGTGGTGCCATGCCCGCACCCAGGATCCGAACCGGCAAACCTGGGCTGCTGAAGCAGAACATGTGCACTTAACCGCTGCGCCACAGGGCTGGCCCCAAAATCTTAATCAAGCTGCTATGTCTGTCCAACTCCAGAGGCCACTGACCTCCCACTATACAGTGCAACCTGCTGCTGTTCAACTAGGGGAGGAAAAAAATCACAAGAAATCTGCTGTCAGTAGAACTATCTTGAGAATTCAAAAAGCTATAATTCAGCCAAATGTGTCTACTACCATGTCACCCTTAAACTAGACTATAAGTCACTCAAAAGTTGTAACTGTGACCTAAACTTGTTTTGGGCCTTTGGCATAAGAAGGAATCAATAAATGTTCAGGGAAGAGTGGGAAAGTAGTGGAGAAAGAGCCCTAGACTGGAATCCTAATTTGGCTTTGCCACTAACTATATGTTCTTGGGCACTTTATTTTGGGGCTCAGTTTTTTAATTTGTAAAACGAGGGAATTGTACCAAATAATCTCTAAGATCCCTTCTGGCTTTAAGTGCTTTTAAATTTTAGAGATCAATAAAATTTCCAGGTCCTTTAGTATAATTCAAAGATCCTAAAGTTTTTGGAAGGCCAATTGGACCCAGAAATCATTCCCTTGAACCACGTTGTTATGCTTGTAGATCGAGACGGTATTTAACATCACAGCACAGCATCTAGCTTAATACCTTGCATATGTGATAGGAACTTAAATATTCAAATACCCGGCTAAATCTTCTGAGCTACTGATACAGTCTCCTATCCTTCTGTCCGTCCTAGGCAAATAAACAAGCTGTAGATAATTTTTAAGAATAATTCAGTAAAACAGTTTCTAGACTATCCCTACACTGTATGGAGTTTATATTTTAGTAAAGATCAATAGAAGTTCATGATAAATTGCCTTTATAAGCTACCAAGTGAAACAAAGAGGTTTACTAGCAGCTTCTTAATGATCTGATCCTTCTAAGAATAAACTTAGCTCTCTCTGAGGTGTCTTTACTGTGTAACTCTATGAAGCTAAGTTTACTCTACTAGAATAGATACATTAATAGAGGATAACCTAGTAATGAAATAGATAAAAGTAAGCCATCTCCTTTCACCTGTGCGAGTCTCTGTTTCAGCAAATACACTTAATTGCAAAACTTTCCCCTTAAAAATAAAACATGGTGGGGCCGGCCCAGTGGCACAGTGATTAAGTGCGCACATTCCGCTTTGGCGGCCCGGGTTTGCCAGTTCAGATCCCGGGTGTGGACATGGCACGGCTTGGTACGCCATGCTGTGGTAGGCGTCCCACATGTAAAGTAGAGGAAGATGGGCATGGATGTTAGCTCAGGGCCAGTCTTCTTCAGAGAAAAGAGGAGGATTGGCAGCAGTTAGCTCAGGGCTAATCTTCCTCAAAATAAATAAATAAATAAAATAAAACATGGTTTTGCAATCACTACTTGATTTCCTTCCTATTTGTGGCTATTGCTTAATGTGATACCCACAGTAACATTTTCACAATCTCACTTCTCTACCAAAGAACATTTTGGGTCACCTTCCTCACTGATAACTAATGTAGCATAAACTTATTGAGGAGAAAAATCCCAAAACATATTTTGAAGCCAAACCTATGTGCTGGGGCAAGGAGGGGTTATTGCTGCTTTGAATTAACTATTCTACGGCCCCATTTCAGCTTGTCATTTCTTTGCAACTCTGTAGCTGCTCCTTTTTAGAGCTGCCATAAAACTAATATTCCAAGCATATTAAATTTTTATTTGCATTAAATAAAACTAAGTCAATGTTACCAAAATAATCTCAAAAGGTTAACTGAGCAAACTAAGCAAATGTAATTTAAGAAGGGTGATTCGTAAAAAAAATATTGAAGAAATGGCCAATTATTTTGGAAAAAACTTGATGTCTTTAGATTAAACTGCTTATCTTATTTTGTAAAAAATGTTTTTCAGTCTGCATATTTGCTTTTTTATTCCATGTTTTTTCTGGATTTTAAATCCATTTATTATTTTCTTTCCCAAACTAAATTACAAACTCCCAGAAAGCAGAGACAGTTCTTGATCATACTAGCACATACTAGCACAGTAAATATTGTTGAATCAAAATGGTTTTGATTATCAGTAGAAAGCTGTAGACAATCTCTACTTTAAAACAATGCTTTCCTAGAAAACGAGCTCAAAGTTAAATGTGCAAAAGTCAAACGATTGACATACATATTGGAAGTGAGATTCCCTTTTTCAGTGTAATCACAATGTATGTCTGTCTTCCGACACAGGCTTTGACAATATAGTTTACATTTGTTCTTTAATTTTTTTTCTTCATAGTTGAGCACACGGCATTAAATAAAATTAAGTTAATGTTACCAAGATAATCCCAAAAGGTTAACTGAGCTTGTTAATCTTCTTGTTGAAGCTTAATAGTCTCACCTGAAAATTCCTATCTTTGTTTTATTTTTTTGTTGTTGACTATATTCGACATGTAACATTGTGTAAATTTAAGGCATACAGTGTATTACTTGGATACGTTTATATATCCAACCATGAGAAAGGAAGATATCCTGCTATTTGTTACAACATAGATGGGCTTTGAGCACATTTGTTTTAATTTTCAATTTTGTATTGTTTATGAGACTTACCCATATTATCACTGTAACAAGCATTTTAATTTTCCCCTTTCCCTCTTAATTTTATTAACTGATGTCACAATGTAATACAATTTCAAATATTCGAAATACAGTAAAATAATTCAACTTCCCCAAAACTGCTATATAAACACGCACACACACACCACCACCGACAAAAACAAAAAGAACAACTTGAAATGTTGCCAGGCACTTGTGTGGCTCAAAATGTTCATCAACTAATATGACCAAGTTAAACCAAAATGACAATTTGGAGATAGCAGTATACAATGGATGGTGGGGAAGGAGGGTGGCATTGAAACATACAGAAGTTGAGAACCACTTGTATTGGGAATCATGGAATTTTAGAACCTTGGAGATAGTTTTTTGCTTGTTGTTTTGTTTTTACATGTCTGTCTTCTCTACTAAACTACTGTTTATTCAAGGTCTCATGGATAGTTAGATACTCCAGAAAATTATTCTTAAAAGTGACAGGACAATAAAACACGTCCACATAGTCTTGGACCTTGGTCTCTTCATTCTAGCTCTCGTTATAACTACAAACAAACTTTGTTTCAGAAGTTATGTTACCTTCTTTGACCCCCCAAATTTGCCAAACCTCATCTAGAGGAGGCTTCCTCCTCCCTTCTCCAGCAAGTGAAAAAAACACAGCACTGCCTCTTATTTAGCTCATTTTGCCACTGTTCAGAGGACTGATGGAGCAAAAATAGTAACTGAAAAATGCCATTTCCTGTAACATTTTATGAAGTTTCCTTAATGTTTTCCTTCTTATTCATTAGTGACACACTTAATACATCTTTTACCAAATGCTTTCCAGAAGATCAGTAACTGAGTTATAGTTAAAAATAACACCTAAACTTTAAGTTGAATTTTAAATGTTAAGCTTTTAACCAATTTAATTATTGTGGTATTGTATTTTTTTATAGTGTAAGAAGTCTGAAGCTATCATGGAACAACTGAAGTCTTTTCAAATTATTGCTCGTCTAAAGCGTCTACAG